GATATTATGCTTTGTGGCGCAGATCTTTTATATGGCAACAATAATTTACGGGGTATATTAATTGCACTGCGCTGTTTGGGCGCTCGCACGTTGATTGTTATTATTATATTTTGTTTTAATTCTTATGACATTTTCGTACTTCTCGTCTTTCGCCTGACTGCTTGACCTTGCAACAAACATAAGAACTGCAGCAAAAACACAAAAAGGGAAAAAGGCAACGATAAGCCATTGGTAATTTATATGACATGCAACTGCGCAGCCGTGCGACTAATTAAAGCCACGTTTTTTTTTGTTCTTAGTGTTTTTATTTTTTATATACTTTTTTATGTGTATTTTTTTATATTTATTTGTTGTTTTTTTAAATAAAAATACTTCTGGTTCAGCCTGGCAGGCGGCGTTGTGGGCATTGTTAATCATTTTTACATTGCATGCAAGTGCCAAAGGCTTGAGGGGGAAAAAAAGCGGCGAAAATGGAGAAAAGCGTAAGAAAGTTTAACTTTATTGCCTGTGCCTGGCCTCTTGTCGTGGCCTTAAGGTGCGATAAAATAAAATAGAAGACCCCAAGCAGAAACAAAAAATGCAACACAAATAGCGTACAGCAAAAGAAAATGTATAAAAGATAAGGAAACCCAAGCGACAAGCCGACTTTTTCCATGCCCTCTCAGACCCCCTCATAAGCACAAATTGGAATATGTTGATCACATGGCAAACTCAAATGTATTATACATATATGATAGATGGTTGTTATACACCGGCTATAATATGCTTCATATATAATATAGGTTTAATGATTTGGTTACATACATTATGTGGAAAGGTAGATCTCGCAATTTAGATGGATATGCATCCAGAATCCACGGCTGTTCTTCGACTATTTTACAATCGCACACAAGAGACTAAATACCCGACATACAACAACTTAATGACAATTTTATGGTACTTGGATATGCTCAGTTTTATGAGAGAAACTACAGCCACTTTTAACCGAAATGGAGAACTTTCTGCTCTGGCCTTTATCTTGCCAATTTTTCTACTTTTTCGATCAACTCGCATAACTGCATGATTCGCAACAGGGTTGCCATCTATGCGTTACATCTGCTTTTTGCTTGCCAAACAGTGTTGTTAAGCGCTTTTCAATATATTTCGAAACAGAGTTTTAAATTGTTTTTTACCAGAAAAGAACGTTAAATCAAACCAGTTAACGAAATGCAAATCGAAGCAATTATTGTCCATACATTTTTGAGTTGGGCAACCCCAAAGCAGAAATATACCATATTTGATAAATGCTAAGTTGGGATTCAGTTAAAATAGAATCAAAAATTTCTATACAAAACGAAAATCAATTAAGGCGAGATTTACTTAAAAATTAATTGGTGTATTGCAGTTTTGACATGTATGTATAATAAAGGTCTTAACGTGGATAAATGTCACTTTTATATATATATATATATGCCACAATATCTGTATGGAACTATATGTGGCTTGCAATATGTTTATTTTAGTAAAGCTTGTGGGCTTAAAGATGTGGAATATCAGGTTCACGAACCAAACCCAAAGAAAGGGTGTTCTTCACGCTCGAAGTGTGAATCTACATAGAAACATTACTTGTTAGGGCTTGCAGCCCTGGGTAACTTAAATATAAGAGTATACGCCAAGACGCACTTAAGTAACACACACACACACACACACACACACACACACACACACACACACACACACACACACACACATGCAGCTAGTGGGCTGTCAGGTGGGCGGTGTAAATTTACCGTTGGACATGCAACGAAATGAGCGCCTGACATGACATGCCCACGGTTCTGACATGAAATGTGCACAGCTCTCAGGAGAATGTGTGTGTGTGTTTGAATAAAAATATATGAGTATGAGTGCACACATGAGTGTATGTGAGTGAGTGTGTGTGTGCGTGTGTTAATTTGCATGATGAAATAAACTGTTGGCTGTGAGTGGCAGCACCACGAGAAAATATATGTGTATATGTGTGTGTAGCTCTCTAATTACTGGGGAGGCATTGTAATTGTTATTCTACATGTTATATTATATAAGAAAGTGGCGTTATTTCGGTTGGGCTCAACACCTTTGAATTTATAATGAGGCCAAAAAGCCAAATAATTATGAGAAACCAACAACAGGGCGAACAAGTTACGAAAAATGGTTAGTCCAAAAGAAGAAATAATATGTTATAAACAATTTTTGAAATGGGAATATTCAGGAAAATATGCTATTTAAACGAGACCTAAAAAGTGTAAATGTCTGCATTATTCTATAAATTTGATAATTAAATTAAGCTTTTATACCCATTGAAATTGTGAAAAAAGGGGCATGATGTTTTTGTGCAAGTGCATGTGACAGGCAAAACGAAGCATTTCCGAAACCATAAAGCATATTTATTCATGATCAGCATCAATAGCCGAGTCGATCTAAGAATGTTCGTCTTCCGTCTGTCCGTATGAAAGCAAGCCCCATTTAAATCTAACTAAAATTAAATTTTGTGTTTTATAAAAATAATCAGTTTGACTATCATGTGCATTGCTCTATGATTTCTCATATATATGTACTTATATATATATGTACTCTATATATATTCAGATTCATTTTTGGTCTGATTTGAAAGCATTTAGCCCAGTTTATTTGCACAGTCCCAATATTGATATTTTCGCTTTTACTGCTTTAACATTTGGCAAACAGAATCATCGTTGAATTGTCGCTTTCAACTCGAACACTTTCTTTAGCAAATGTTTACAGTGCAAAGTTCGAGCTCGGCAAAGATTGCGCTATAAAAAGTGTCAGATAAAGTCTTTTGTGGAACAGTCAAAATTCAACCGGGCCAAGATGAAGGCACTCGCTCGGGTTCTTGTCCATTGCTGCCTATTGCTTCATCTGTTTGGAGCACTTCAGGGCCGGCTCTTTCTAGCCCAGAACGGCATCATCTACTGCAAGTGGTCCAGTAGATTAACATGCAATAAGTTTAAGCCCGTATGTGTGCAAATCGGATCAGGTACTGCATTGACTTGCAAACATTATAGGAACGAGTGTCAATTTCTGATTGACCAATGTCTTGGTAAAACTGGTAAAATGCCTACTGAAAATCTTTCCATGTAACCTGTGTATAAAAATAATGTATTTTTTTTGCAGAATTTGGACTCAATGGTGCAATCGTGACTTTCGAGCCGAAGTGCGCCAAGATTCTAGCTGGTAACAAGGGCGAATGTGGTACTTAAATTATTCAAATATATTATTTATAAAGCTATTAATATATTTACATAAAATATGAAAGCTTCTATATATGTACAATAGCGAGTATTCACATCTTCAAATCTGAGACATAACTTTATTACCCAGTTAACGCCCGCACAAAATTTAATTCCAAGCCAATCAAAGGGTTCTACACATGTCAGGAAAGGAAAAGTTTCGCATTTTCTATTCTAATTTTTGAGGTTGAGCTTGGATTCTGCGAAAAATACGAAATGAATTTTCATGAAGATCATTGTGTAATTTTCGGAAACTCTGCCTTAACGTGCCCCTCCTCCTCATAAGATTTTTAAAAAGTACATTTCAGCAATCAATCAGTGAGTCAGTTAGTCAGGCCAAATAGTTTTATACATAGAGATTATTATATTTAGATAATTCCAAATCAGCCAAGACCTTCAGTGTGTATAAAATGAAAGAAAGTGTGTATCAATGAAAGATTTTACAGGCACTCAAATGAAAGCTAAGTGTATTTGAAAAAACCCATTTCTTATACACTTTAAAATTTGTTGTATCGCTGTGTGTAAAGGGGAAACAAGTGTTGCACAACACGTTCAGCTAAGCATTCGATGGGCGTTTGTCAAACCGGAAGCAGCAGTTCGTCCATTTTGATGATTGCATTTCCGTTCTGCTTGGCGCCAGAGAAAAGCGAAACAATTATTCATTTTATCATTTGGCACTGGCATTCGCTCTCTCTAGCTGTGTGTGTGTGTGTATCCCAATGTCACATACACACTCAAACACACACACACACTCACACATACACACACTAATGCCATGATATATGCTGCAGTTCTTGTGCGCGCTGCTTTTTAATTGCAATCGCAAAACATGAAAGCGAATTTACCATAAATTGCACATTTTCAAGGCGAAAGAACAGTAAAACGAGCAAAAATTATGGTTATGGTTTACACACACACAAACACAATCGCACTCACACTCACACACACATGTACACACACACAGGCAAGCGTAAAATTTATGAAAGCTTGTTTTTGGTTTGGCATTTTGCATTTCTGTATTGTGGATTACAAAAACCGCCTGCGGATGCAATTAGAAATACAAGAACAAAAGCAAATTTCATATATAAATTGTCACAGTATGCATAGAGATTAGACAGAGAGAAGGGCTGGAGATTAGGGGTCGTGGTTGGGTTTTCCATTATAATCTGATGTGCAAATAACTGCAAAATGCTTAAGCTTTTTAATTGAACGTTACAATCTATGCAAATTGTGTGTGTTTGAGATTTTTGTGCAGGATTTAACTGTTACTAACATGGTTTGCTGTTACTAACATAAATTGCTAATGTTAAATGGCTGTTATACTTAACAGTGTTAATAGGCACTGTTAATTGGAATTTTTCCAAAATTGTAGTTTTCTTTGGTTGCTTTTTAGGGCCAGTAAAAATGTAATAAGTCTTACACTTTTCTAAAGAATAAACATTTTTTTTATATTGGTCGTTAACTTCTGTAGAGCTTCTGTTAATAATTCAAACGCCTGTTATTAAGATATACATTTTGTGCTAATGCTGTTATTAACATTTGCGTGAAAAATGTTATTTTAATGTAGACATTATGTTGTTAAACAAAGGAACGCTCTGAAAACAATACAATGAAAGCACTTCATACATTTTTATAAAGTATAAATTATTCAAAATGTGATTCAATCAACTCTCTAGACCAATAATAATCATATGTAAATACCACAAAAACTTCATGCTGCTGCTGCTGTTGTTACTTGGCGTTGTTGGTGCCACTGGCGCAGGGCAAGCTTTGATTGATTGACATGCCCGAGCAGAGTTTTATGTTGACTCTTTGATAAACTGCAATTGGCAGGGGTAAGAAAATCGTGTGTGCATAGACTTTTAGCACTCATAACTCACATGCGTTTGTCAGTGTATTGCTGTTGGATTTGCAATTGGCCAATCTTTGCTTGCAACTGTAGCTCCGCAGCTCACACAGATTGCTGCGTGCAATGCGCACACATATTTTACCATTTGGCTGACAATTGGCTCGAACCCTGCGCCGACAGCTCTCCAAATTGCTCGCCTTCGCTTCCTGCTCACTGGATGTGCTTAGTACTACCAAGGCCAGAAATATGCTTATCAATAGAACAGCTTTCATTGTGCCACAGATCGAAAATAATAATCTTCATCTCTTCTTTTGGCCTTTATATTGCTTTTCAGCTTCAAATGTTTGCCTAATTACTTATCATCTGTATTTATTAATCAACAGCAAATAATCATCATAAGCAAGGCTATCGTCATGCTTTATATGAGTCCTTTGTTTCTTTTTTCTTGTCAAGCAGTTGTACAAATATTTGTCTTGATTTGTTTAAGAATTAATTTTATTATAATTATATGTGCGCTCTCTAGTTAACCCTAGAAAGATTGTCATATTTTAGCTCAAGCAATTTTTTTTATTTACTGAGATCGTTTTTGTGTATCTGCACAACATTTTAAGAACCTTTTTAAAAGTTTTGATTTCAAAGGAATACATATAAATTTAATCAATCAACTTATAGACATTTTATTTTTGCTCGCTTTTCTTTTAGTCAAGCCTCTTTTTAATGAGTGACGCCAGGTTTTATCATATTAGTGATATGAAGATTTCCATCCTATGCTAACCGAATTTTTGTATGACGAATTACTTGCAAATGTTTAAGTGTTATCTATTTTTTTTGTAATATCCCTATATTGTCTTCTATGTTCAACAAAAGTTATATAATTTGCCGTAAGTGCTAGAACTGTTGTTATGCACATCATATTTATGTTAAAATGCATTATGCGTGCCTGTGTTCCCGAAACCTCTTTCGCTTCCATTTCGCCACTACTTTAGAACAGCTTTCTTTATAAGTAGCATATATTTATTTAAAATTCAATAACATAATTCTTCAACAAATCATCGACTTAGCCGCGCCGTCTGCTTATATAAATGGGCTGAACATTCGATGTGGAACTCGAGGATGTGGTGCTGCCAGCGCATTGCCTGCGCGTGCCTACGGGAATGCCCGAGCACATGGACAGGGAGACGGTGGTGTAGGTTACGGAATTGACGCAAGCCTCGTAGCGTAGCAGGCATCTGTTGGTGAAGCGCATGCAGAGATTGGAGCGTCCATAGCGACCGCAGACATTGCTATTGGAATAATAGTTGCAGTTGGAAAGGACACAAATCCTCGGAGTGTTGCTGCTGGTGCCGCTGCCTATGAGGCTGCTGAGGTTGTAGACTTGGCCGGCGACCAAGGCGCTGGACAGGATTGCCAAGAGCGCAGACAGAGCCAATATAAGTTTCATTTTGCACACTTGAGTTTGATTTCTGAATGTTGCTTTGCAGTATTTATAGCTCATGTGTGTTGAAATCTATGATAATTGGCCTTTACTCCATGATGAACGACATTGAAAATATACTTAAGAAGCACTTTTTTCTTTTTTGCAAAACACTTGCGCAAACAAATTGGTCTAAGATATTGCCACACGCAATTTTTGCTCAGTTTATAGTTTGTTTTTCACGAATGCAATGACATTAGTCAATTTGAATTAGAATGCCACAGTGCGGGGCTTAAATAATATATTTGCATTAAAGAATTTATTTGATTCGTGGCGCCTAAAAGTAGGCAACACTTAAATGTGTGGTTCAGATGTTGGCTTATGCTATTATAATTAAATATTTTGGCGAGTGTTTTAGGCACGTTTTAATAATGCCAATATATAACAAACATTTTCAGATTGTGCTTAATGAATCCCAATCTGTCTGCTGTTAAAAAGGACTTTGAGAATGTTAACCTTAGATGAGCCCATTGTTTTCTTGAATGCAGAACAATGTAGTTGCCTTCTCTGATTCAAATGCACTATGTTTCGGCAAAGTCTGCAAGAATATGGTTGAACTAGCGATATTTTCCTAGAGTCTCACTCGTTAATGCACATCCCCGAAAGTATGCAGCATACATTCACGCTCGAGGCTCATGAGGGTCTCCCAGTTGAGGTCTTTCTTTTCTCTTCAGAGTTAAAGCAATATTAGTTGCCTATTTGCATTAATGTTGATTTTGAATATATCCAAAATATTGTATCAGTTTTAATCAGTAATCTTATTGTTACCTAAAACTAGTCTCATGCAGCTGCCAAGCACAGGGAATCCTGTCTGTATACTTAGAAAACAATTCTATTCAGACAGCTCTTAAATCAGTTGCGAATTTAAGGCACAAAACACCTGATACCTGATTAAGCTGTTGGCTGTGACTGGCACATATATCAAAGGTTACTAATCGAAAATACTTTTGAAATCTCAGCTCAGCTGCAGATCAGAAAATCAGTTAAGAAGGTTATATTGAAGGGCTTTCAATAACAAACAGCCACTTAAAGTCCGATCCACACTTGAGTATCTAGTGCACTTGTTTGAGTATCTACATCAACACACAGCTCAAGTCAAACAACAACAATTACACACACACACACACACACAGGCACTCACACACATACACACAGTCGCACACACATGCAACTTTTGCTGTGATTGACAACGTCATTTAGACAACTCGACCCTGTCAGCGTTTGGGCTACACATCAAATTAAATTTCATAGCCATGCGCAGCTCTTGAGCGGCTTCTTGACGCGATGCGTTCAAATGAACATAAAACAAATAAATAAAAATAAATATAAAACAGTAAACCGAACTGAAATCAAATAAATAAATGCGCCAAACAAACAACGCATAAACAATTAAAGCGCGAATGCGTTCAGTTTTCTCTCTCTCTGATTTCTGCACTTCTTTATCGTATACCTTAACCTGAGGGTATTGCAATATTGTCATGAAATGTGTATTAAATTTAAGAAAATCAAATTGAAACTCTATATTTTTATATTTTGATCAAATTAGGCAATTACGAACCGGTAAAGTTATTTTACTAAAAAAATGCTGTTCATTTAATATGAATGAGTGTATCTCATGTTGTTTAGCATGGCATAACGAACCTTATTTATACCCTATGGCAATGACAATCTACAATAATATGTGAAAAAGTGTATTTAAGCTGCGAAAAACCTTTATCAATGCATTGAAAATGGGTTAAAAGAGTATAATGATTATGTGCAAAGGTATGTAACAGGCAGAAGGAAGCATATCCCGTCCCATGAAGTATATATATCCCGTTCGTCCCTGCCGACCTTCAACCCTATAAAAGCTAGAGATCCGATAATCGATAATTTGTCTCTAAATCTCTCAGAAAAGAAAATATTAAGAGAACGTGTGGTTATATTGGCAAGTCCAGTTTTCAGCGATAGCAGAAGTTGCAGGGTATCTCCTAGTCGGGCACTCCCGCCGCGAGCTCTCGTTTTGGACGTTTGTTTAAGCATTCCATAAACGCACTTTAATAAAATGCCGTTCAGTATTGGTCAAGGCTGCGAAAATGCCGAGTTAATTGGGCTTAAATTGATTGGCTTAAATGTGGCCAAATTGATGCATTGGCCAAATTAGAACGAAATACCAAAAGAAAATTTGTAACACAAAATGTGTGCGTGCGTGTGTGTTTTTGCGTGCAATTTGCAAACTGCATAAATTTGCATTGATTTTTCGCTGGGAAACTGAAAAGTCGACAAACTGTGTCACATTTGGGCGCGTAGGTGCGTGTGGGCGTGGCACTGGGCACCCCAGGCCAACCATCATCAATAACATAACCATTAAGTTGCGCAACTTAGGAAGACGCCAATTGGCTCGCACTTTAATTAATAGTTGCCTTCTTTTTCTAGCCACGTTTCAATTCTGTGCCAGTGAAATCTGGATAGGACTTTCCATTTGGCCCACTTTAATTGTTAACGGCCGGCGATAAAAGCCAATTGCCGGGCCATTAAATATTGACAGGCAATTTAATTGTCATAAGCGACAAAGTTAAATAAATATGCAATGAGACTCATGAATTTCTTAGTGAGCACATGCAACATTCACGACAATTGTTGCCACAAATCGATGAATTTCAGTTTAAGACAATTGTAAAGAGAAATACAATGCAAGGCGCCGCTTCAAATGTATCTGTCAGATATGTTTTTAACATTAATAGATACAATTTGGGTGTACAATATGCTAGCTAAGCTTTTTAACTAACGAACTTCCCTTTAAATGAAATCAAAATTTAGCAAAAATGAAGCAGTCAACACTGCCAGACTAAAAGATACTCTATAAAAATCTTTATACTTAGTATCATAAACTTGCATCCATATGTTCTTCTTGTGCAAGAATTCCTGAATTATTATTATTATTACTTACTCATCTAAAAGAGTATTTACTCTTCGGCGTGCCGTAGATATACCTATTTTCCCATTTTATATTATACATCAATTAGTGACTCGCTTTTGCTTAAAATTAGTTTATTAAACTTTATTTTAGACAATATGCTGCACATGCGTCACAAGTTTATAAATAAATGAGTTGCAGATACAAAAGCAATAAAGCTAAGCGATTACCGCATCTATTTAAAGTGCCTTAATAAATATTTAAATAGGTATTAGGACACTTTAATTATAGGAAATCACGTTAATTTCTAATGTAAATTAGTCTAAAAACCGGGTCATATGCGCTTGGGTCAAACGGGAGTTCAAAGGCGAAATGCCGCATTAAAAGCAGGCAAAGGTGAGAAATGGGTAGAAACTGGCGATAAAAACAAAACACACAAAAACGCGAATGCCGATGGGAACTTGAAATGGAAAATGGGAAAATAAAATGAAAACGAATGTGGTTAAACTTGAAAACGGGCCGCGTGCACAGTTCACGAAAAGACGAAGAAGAAGAAGAAGCAGACGCCTCATTTGCTGGCCTTAAACTGCAAAACATTTAACGGGTTTTTGGTGGCAGGAAGCTGCTGCAAAGTGGATCTTATCAGCTGTTTTTTTTGGTTTTATTTTTGTTTGTTGTTGTTTTGGTCAACGCAATGCAATTGATTGCAACGCTCCATTTTTGTGTGTGTGCAATAAAATTGTTTAATTTACTCGCAGATGCGGCTAATTCATTTGCCGATTGCAATTGGCGTGATGCTGCCAATGCGGCAGCTCCCCCAGTAACATGTCACACCGACTGTCCCATACTCTGTTCACAATTAGCTAGCAGCTCGAAGAGGAGCTCAAAACGAATCTACTTTTGCAGCGGCTTAATGGCTCTGAGTCCACTAGCTTAAGTAGTTTTTCGAGCTCTAAAAATAGTCGAACTCACGAAATTCCAATTCCAATTCCAATTATTAGACTCAACACCAAAGCACAGCACAACAGACTTGCAACAAAACCTATATACTCTTGCTCATATTGTGAACATAGTATAAAAGCAACAACAACAGCAAACTTTCACTTTCGACCGCCTGCATTTCGTTCAGATATTTTTTTTTTTTTTTGGGCAGGTCAGTTTTGTGTAGACTTGGCTTAAAGCACAAATCGCCGCCTGCAAGAGTTTGTAATGCCTGACTGCATTTTCGATTTGGGCCGCGTATCGGACTCATATAATTATTATGTTTTATATACCCTGTACTTAACAAATTAGCTAAAAACGGGCATTAAGGCATTGATCACAGAGATTATGTAAGTAAGAGCTGGTCAAGTTATTATATAAGATCAGAATGTTTACATACCGCTATTTCCTGCATATATAGGGATATATGGACTCATTCGTAATATTTACATATATATCTCATTAGACCATAAACACTTGCAATAGTCAGTCAAGGATTATAAATCTGATTTTTGAAGCACTTTTACTTTGGTATTGACCTTGTCTTATTTAGGTATCGAGTCTTTATGAGCGACTAGACTCTTTTGTATGGAAGCCACCTTTAGGGTATCTTCCAGTCAAGCTACTTCACAGCAACATTCTTTCTTGTTTGTTTTTGTTAAACTAACTGATATAATGCCCAAGCCAAGTGCTCTGGCTTGCATTGTGCTCGGACTCTGGCTCAGAAAATGTTGTAATATAATTTTAATTTGTACCAGAAATGATTGCCAATTGCCGCCGCTTTATGTTGATTATACAATTTGGTTGCCTTGTTGCAGTTGTTGCTGTTATCCCCCCCTTTTATTTTTTGGGGCGTTCGCCGTTTTGCCTCTTGAATGAAAGTGCTTGGAGCACTTAAAATTGTGAGTGCTAGTTTAACTAAAATTGAACACACAATTTGTGTAATTATTTTGCTGGCTCTTTTTTAGCCTTTGGGTTATTCAAATTAAAGACCCGGGGGCGATACAGTTTAAAACTATAAATGATGCACAGTGGAAATTAGGTATGAAAGATGATAGCACATGGCTGGAAAAAAGCGGAATTTGGGAAA